AGCTCAAAACCTACCAGTCCTTCGAAAGCCCCGGCCCATACAAGGGATTTGGCCCTATCGTCGTGGTCTTGTCTGCTTGCTCGATCTGCGTTGTTTTTGGTGGCACGGCGTCGCTGCCGTCTAGCAGGCCTGTCACCTGGGCACCTCACAGGGCTGGCAAGATTTGCGCCTTCCAGAGGAGGTAGTTCCCCTTTGTCTGCCTCTCGGTTGGTGTATCACCGAGGTTGAGGCCGGTAGCGCTCAAGGAGGATGCCATGATACGATCGATAGTGAGAGCTTCTGTTTTCTTTGTCGCTAGATGTTTTGGAAGAGTTGGGCTCTCCATACCATGTAAGACAATGTTGGGAAGATTTCCTACTCCCGATGGGAGGCGCATTGCGTTTATTCATGAGAGACAGGAACAGCCCCTGTCGTGGCGAACAAGCCTGCGATGATCACTAGGATTCACCGATACATGAGGAGTCACAGAAAGAAATGAGAGAAGTTGAGATAGAGGAAGGTTTAGATTACAATAGATTTAATAGATATTCTAACAAACACTACACAATATTATGTTATGATACACAAGCGTGTTGAGAGTGCTTGCGAGCCTCTAGATATATTTGGGATATATGACCTAACCAGATCAAGATCTTCGCTTGGCTACTCTTCCGCGACTGGCTCAACATGCGTGCCAATCTCGTCCACAAGCACATCATCTCCGACGCCGCCTGCCCACGATACCTGGCGCCCTCCGAAGACGTGTCCCACCTCTTCATCGTCTGTCCCTTCGCATTCCAATTTTGGCAACGCATGGGTATCACACCAGTTTCAGACTCCATCGACGACCTCTAGGATGCCTAGATTCACCCACATGCACCTCCAGATGCCTAGTCTTTCGTGCTGCTCACAATCTTATGGAAAATCTGGGAAGCTTGTAATGACAAAGCCTTTAGGGCCATAGATAGGCGCTCGACTAGCTCCTCTAGACTCATCATCTCCGATGTAGACCTGTGGTCACATATCTCTAAGACATGTGACAAGGAAGCCATCTCCTCGTGGTGGTTTTTCCTCTCTGCACAC